ATTTATTGTTTCGGCTCTCGTTGTTGTTGCTTTTTATTGCTTATCTTGTAACGTTATCATGACTGCACAATGTTTTCTTTTATTGGGAAAGTTATTTTCTTACTATTATATATATTTATATATATACTATAAAGAAATATAATAAAAATAAATATATTATATATGATATATATTAATATATAGTAATATATATATATATTAATAGTATATATATATATATAATATATATATACATACATATACACCACACACACACACACACACACACACACACACACACACACACACACACACACACACACACACCCAACACACACACACACATATATATATCATATATATACTATATATAATATAGTATATAAAGAAATATATATCACGCACACATACATGTTTATTTATGTGTGTGTTGTTTATGCAATCATCTAAATCTACTATCCTACTCATGCCATATATCCATGTAGTATGTATGTATGTATATACCGATACATTATACACATATACATACACACGCACACGCACACACCCACACAACCCCCCCCCCCACACACACACACCACACACACACACACACACAACACACACACACACGCACGCACGCACGCACAGACACATACACACACACATGTGTGGTGGTGTATGTGCCTGTGCATATATTTTTCGCAAACGTTTTGCTGTAATTGAAACTTTTTTCACTTACATTCATGGATTTACGTCATTAAAAAAAAGGTTTTTGTCATGCTTATACTTTTTTATTTTATTTTTTCTCTCTCTTTTTAATCGCGCTAAGGTTGTACTAATGAAAGCATTTGATAAAAATCAGATGTTTAGTTTGGATTGAAACGTTGCGCTGTTATGCAATTGTTATATAAACGTTCGGTTACGCATGGCCTATCGAAATCAAGAAAGTGCCACAGAAATAAAGTGTAACGGAAGAGAAATGTAACAGCGAGAATATGGAACAGATAAAAACATTGTGAAAATGGAATAAAATGTAAGAAACAAATGTAGTATAAGTAACAGAAGGGAAATGTAACAAAGAAAATTTTACAGAGAGAGAGAGAAAAAAAATGGAACGGAATGAAAATGTAACAAAGAATTGAAAATGTATAAACATAAACAAATGTAACAGAAACAAAGTATAACAAAGAAAATGTTTCAAAGAATATGAAACAGATAACAAAATATAACAAAGAAAAGGTATCTAGAAGAATATAAAAAAAAACACAACAGAAGGAGAAAACACTAGAAAGAAAACTAAACAGAGATGAAAAAATAAAGAAAACAGAAAAGAGATAAAGCAGAAAAGATAGAAAACAGAACAGAGAGAGAACAAAAAAGAAAGAAAATAGAAGAAAGAGAAATCAGAAAAGAGAGAACACAGAACAGAATAAAGATATAACAGATCCTACGATGCGACGGAAACAGAAACACCGAAATAAATGATAGGAAGAGAACAAACGATAAAAAAAGGAAAGAGAAGAGAGAGAGAGAGAGAAACAAAACACAAGGGAGACAAAGATACCAAAAGCAGAATAGAATTAGAAATCAGAAAGAGAGGGAACACGCAGTTAGAAATAACAAGAACGCTTTAGAAGAAGAAGCAAAGATAAAAGATAATTTGCAAAAGACAGAGTGCGAAAAAAAACAGGAAGAAGTAAATATAAAGATAAAGATAATTGTAAAGATATCAAGATCGAAGCGAAAAGGGGAATAGAAGTCGAGAGCACAATAAAAAGATAGAATTAGAGATATAAAGAGAGATGGGAGTTAGAGGCAGGAGATCAAGATAAATATAAGAATAACTATACCAAGAGCAAGGAAGGAAAATAGAAACGAGAGATTCGGAGAAACAAGACACCCCAAAAGAAAAGAAGAAAAAGAAAGAGGACGAGAGAGAGAGAGAGGAGAGAGAAGATGTGAGAGAGCAAGAGAGAGAGGAAAGAGAGGGAGAGAGGAGATAGTACGAGAGAGAGAGAGGGATACGAAGAGAGAGAAGAGAGGATTGAGAGAGATGAGGAATGAAAGGTAAGGAAAAGAGGAAATACAACATACACGCACACCACACACACACACACACCCAACCCAACACACACAACACACACACACAACACACACACACACACACACACACATACACATACACAACACATACACATTACACCATACCATACATAGCATTACATACATACATACCAACTACATAC